CGGGCAGTTGAAGTGCATAAGGAAGGAAAGCTGTCTCCGGCACCTATATATTCAAGATTTCCCCAGCATGAAAGTTTCTCCTATTTTGTATTACTTGCAACTTCAAAGCTGCTTAGACTGCCAAATGTGATCTGGCCAATTAGTATGAATGTAGAGAGTAATAGATCATCAACACAACAGCATAACACATGCTGGATTTGTGTAAAATCATCTAAGAAAAGCTAAAGATAGCACCATCCAGGATGCAAGAATCAAGAGAATTCAAAGTAATGGGCCTGATTTGGATCTCACACCAGTTTTCCAACAGTGCAACTCCCTTGATTTTAATGGAGTTATTTCTTATTTGAAGCAGGGTGAAAGGAGAATCCAGCCCATAGAATGTTAAATTACATAAACTACCTAATTGAAAGGGCACAGTAAAGATATTTTTCATGTATTTGAAAAAGCCCTTTCTTCTGTTATTTCACTAACTACTTGGAAGTGTAGAGTGAAAGTTGGTTTCATAAGTGAAATATGCTTCTCTCTAATGTGCACGTTGGATTCTTTATTGCAGGGCTGCTGATAAACACTGGGCTGTGCATATTGGTTTGTTTATTGTAGGGCTATTTACCAGGACTGGGGTGCTGATATTTTTTCTTTTAATAAAAGCAGTATAAAAGACTTTGTTTTGTGGCAGGGGGAGTGCAGGGGGCGGGGGGATGAGGGGGAGAGGGAGATGAGGAAATTACATGGAGATTGAAAACAAAAGAAGCCAGGTCCCAAATCTGACTTATCAACATTGGCAGTGTCCTTTTAAATCTGTGTAAAAGATTACAACTACATTGGGTTAAAGATGCTAGCAAAAGGTTGTGCCCAGAGACAACTGCTGCCTTCAGATATGCACACCACCTTTCATTGTTGTTAGTGGCACTTGCTTGTATCTTAGGGCAAAATTAGTCCTCAATCATTTTATAGAGACATTTTTATGGGTCTCAAATGACTCTACAAAGAATGGTGCCCCATTCTGAATCCTCAGTATTAATGGATCTTAACTAGTCACCAACAGATTGTGTGATAGCAATCAGAGAACACATCTCATTCCAGAACACAGAAACATAGGAATTGCCATCCTGGATCAGATCAGTGGTCTATCTATTCCAGCATTTTATATTCCACAGTGGCCAGTACTCTGAAACATCTATTAAGATGTATGAAACCGTACAGAATGGTTGGTGTAACCTGCTCATACAAAAAGTTCTTTTCTGACTCCCAACCATCAGAGGCTTATGAGAATTTGTAGCCTCTCAGCCAAAAATGGAAAATGGTGATCTTCAACTGGAAGAAATTCAGCAGATGGGTTTCCAAGAAGACATTCTCTGAGCAACAGGAAAGGATGTCTCTCTCAGGTTTTAAAATTAGATAAAATCAGGACAGCAGCACTAAGAAGTTTTCAAAGCACTGGTCAGGTGCATCTTCAAGAGAATAAAAAATATTGCACACACCTTTGGTTACCATGGGAAAACTTACTGTTCATCCCTACAGTACAACACACCCTCTTTTCAGAATTCCAGAAGTCTGTTTATCTAAGCAAACCTCTCAGTTCAGTCTGTTACTAGCTGGCATTTCTAGTTTTAATACCCTCAGAAGAAGATAACTAATGAAAACCTTGAGATCAAAGTTAAAAGTGAAAGGCAAAGTGGAAAGTGGCACCTTTTTACTACACTCCTGCCTATGTAAATGCTTGGCTTAGAGATGAAAATCCAATATTAATAATATTGACTGTTGGATTTTTATTTACCCTTTTTTTCTCGCTGTTGTTTTTATAGCAGCCCATGTTCCTGTTGTCTCAGGCACACATAAGCACTGGAGACGGCCAGCTGCTTTCAGTAAGGATATTGCTGTCTTTTCCATGGCAACAGATTGTAATATAGATACTAGTTTTAAGACATAAGCTTAAAGGGACACTGTCAAGTTACAGTATTTTTTTTTTCCATTTGTCTAAAACAAATTTCCCCCAGGCTCCAATCCTGAAGCCTGAAATTGATATGTGTTTTCTTGCCAAAAAATGGTTATAGGGTTGGCCAGGAGAGGTGGGCTGAGCAAACTAGTCCATAAGGCAAAACCAGAGTCTCGTAGCAAAATGTCTCTGAATGTATGAACTGGATTCAAAACCTAGAATCCAAAGACACTCCTATGGCTTTGGTTGTGTTTTGAATCTAAAACTGAAAAGGACCTGTTTACCTTGTTCCTGCTGAGATGTGGCCAAAATCTCTCAAAACCAATCATCAACTACAACCAGCTTGACATATGGATTAAAGTTTTTTCTTTAACTTTTAAATTTTCTGTTTTCTGTTGTAAACATTAGTACATTGAAGGTTACTGATGTACACAAATTGCTTACAGATTCTGAATAGTGTCTTTTCAAAGTCAGGGAATGTTGTCCAGATTACAATGCTAGTATTTTGTTGTGCTCTTTCTTATGCTAATTATTTCCATCTTGGGAACAAACAAAATTAATAGTAATTATGGTTTCTAGCCATTCAAATATGGAGAAAGCAGGCTTTAGAAGGAAGTTACATCTCTCAACAAGTGTACACTGCTCACCATTCGTGTGGTTGAGAAGCTGAACCTTTCTGCACCCTCCTACACACTACGATATCCTGTGGAGTTTCCTACTATAGACTAGCACTAGCCTCTACACTAAAGAGATGAATGAAAAACGAATCTGAAGACTTCACTGAAATATGTTTTTCATTAAAATAATTGCCCTTAACAGTCACTGGTTTACTTTAGCAACTTTGAAATTGTATTAAACCTAAGAGATAATGTGGATTTACGATAAACTTTAGATTATATTAACCATCCTGCTTCTATTACATTGCTTGTGCCTAGGAATGTAGCAATAAAAAGAATCTACTGTGCTAATGGTGCCATACATGATACCTACTTTATCTCCTTCTGCCACACTGCCCCCTATGTACTGAACAATCTTCCAACTCCAGTGTGGCAAGCCATTACCTTCTCTTCATTCAAATCCTTCATAGAAAACTGACTTCTTTTCCAGTGTCCACAAAAAGTGATTCCGTCTCAAAAACTAAATCCTAGTTATTCCCTTCTCTGTGTCCTATCAACTGTTGCTATATAGTTTAGACTGGAAATTTTAGGGGACAGGAACGCTGTGTATTTTATATCACTTAGCTAACAAATAGTAAGAAATCAAGCATGGTTAATTTTGTTAGGCCTGGACAACTTAACACAGTGGCTCGCAACCTTTCCAAACTACTGTACACCTTTCAGGAGTCTGATTTGTCCTGCATACCCCCAAGTTTCCCCTCACTTAAAAACTACTTGCTTACAAAATCAGACATAAAAATACAAAAGTGTCACAGCTCACTATGACTGAAAAGTTGCTGACTTTCTCATTGCTACCATATCATTATAAAACAAATCAATGGAAATATAAATATTATACTATACACTGAAATGTAAGTACATAGAGCAGTATAAACAAGTCATTGTTTGTATGAAATTTTACTTTGTACTGACTTTGCTAGTGCTTTTTATGTAGCCTGTTGTAAAACTAGGCAAATATCTAGATGAATTGATGTACCACCTGGAAGACCTTTGTGCACCCCCAGGGGTATGTGTTGAGAACCACTGGCTTAACATGTAACTTTGGGTGGCGGGGAATGGGAAGGCATATATTCACATATCAATCTTTACAGTAATTCAGTCTTATGTGGGCTTAGCAGGATAAAAAATCCCCCCCCCCCCGTCCCGTTTTTCTGGAAGGACTCAAATTGTAAAGTTTGGAACTAGAAAATTCCTCAAAATTCAGGAATGATCTTGGGTTTTGGTTCAGGCCCATCCAATTTTTTTCTCCTCAAAATTTTAAATCCATATAGTCCTTTAACCCAATCATTTATTATGTCAGGTAGCACACAGGACTCCCATTTTAAATTCAACTTTCAAAATATCCTCTGCCAAGATGATGCTAGTCACAGGGAGTAAAGTAAGGCATCCTCAACTACTGTCAATTCCATTGCACAAATGTGCACTATTGACACTGATGTGCAAAGTATTTTAGAAAGGGCAGGAGAGTGCCTCCAGTCATTCAAGTCACTAGATGTAGCCAATGTACCTTGCCTTAGCGATTGGTTGCTACCGTTTTATAAAGAATCTGAACGCTAGAATAATTTTAAAGCAACCGCACATTTCACCTAAAACTAAGTTGTAAAATAATCATTTCGCTCACTATTAGTCACTCCAGTAAAGTATTAAATTAGGCTCACTCCCGCAAAGATTTATGCACACGTTTAACATTACAACGGTGAACAACTCATGCAAGTAAAGTTCAGCAGGTGGGTAAGTCTTTGCAGGATGGGAGCCACAGTGAGGAAGTGTGACGGTTTAAAAACAACAAATTCAAATGATCTGACATAGTTTAAATCATGTTTCTCTCTCTTCTGCATTACCCAGTTTTTTTAAACCAAAATGTAAACGTTATGCAACTTTGAGCAAGAGGCAAACCCAAGGCAGTATATTACATGTGTTCACTGGTTGTGTTTTACTATTGTGATTAAATTCATCTGCCTGCTCTCTGGTCATTCATCCCATTACAACCAAAGCAAATCGTTCTAAGGGATATACTCTTGCTACTGCACGAGGAATAGCAGGTGAAGTTTTCTTTCTCTTCCTTTCCTTTTGCTAATACAAAGAAGCTCAAAATAGATTGTCCACAAGGGATATTGTAACCTCACCAGACACTGTAGCATTTCCCTACCGCCCTCTTAGGGTTAACTGGAGAAAACAACTTGATCTCTCCCGAGAGCGCAGCCAACCCCTCCCCAGAAATACTGTTACTTCTGCCCAAGTTCTAGAAGGACCAGGCAGCAACTCATCCTGGCACAAAGCCCTACATATTCCAGACACTCTCGGTACTTTGAAGCCATTATTTCACATATCCAGGGGCACGGGGTTTTAAGCTGGGTTTTTTTTTTTTATGGATAGTCGCCACAAACCTTCTGTACACTTCAAGTAATCATAATCATAATCGAATAATATCGAGAAGTCGAATTCCTCTTGAGGGCTGACGTTTTGATTTGGGTCATGGTCCCCGTGCTGTGAGTCAAACTCCGGATCCTTATGGGTGGAACTCATCTGTGTCGCCTGGCCAAGTCCTGCTTTATTAAGAGGGGGAGGAGATGGGAGCAAAAATGGACACCTCCCTGGCTGAAAAGCTGTCAATTTCACGCCCACCAAAAGACAAGATCCTTCGAAGTATAAGAGGAACCGGGAGTTTAAAAAGAAAAAGAAAAAAAATCTCCCGAGCTCCTGTTATCACCTCTCAGCTCAGCCAGCTGCACTTTTAAAGCAAGGTCCGCTCTGGTCTGTATAAATAATCCGGAATGGGATGGTGAGGTGAGGCGTCCCCAGCTGTCTGTGTGATGGGTGAGTGATCCCAGGCTGAGATTCCCCGCTCCTAGCCCCGTCACACAGCAGCTCAGTGACAAGAGTGTGAAATTAACTAGATGAACAGTGGCAACTTCCTGTTCTCAGCAGCCACCTGCAGCTAGGAGGCGGGTCCTGCCTGAGGGAGGAGCCCCCTCCTGCAACGAGCAGAAGGGGGACGGGGGGAACTGCCCGGTAATTCGCAGGACGATCAACCCGGGGGATGGGGAGGATGAGGGGGCACAGAGAGGGAACTCGGTCAGGAGCAAGAGATGAGAGAACCCTGGGCACCGGGGAGCTGGAGAGAGGGGAGGCCGCATCTGAAAGCAGTGGGGACTACATATTTTGGGGAGTGCAGAGACGAGCCTATATGTATGTGCATGCGAGCGGGGCTGGGGGGAGGATGCATGTGTTGCGGAGAGAGCCTTTAGCTGCGATGGTGGGTTTTTAGTTCAGGGTGGGAGCCTTTGATAAGGAATTTTGCATGTGACTGGGTGGGGAGGGGGTGTAGGAGGGAGAGATGATTTGGCGGGGGGGGGTTGTGAGGCAAGCGGGCGTGTGCATGGGTAAAAGTGGTTTGGGGAAGGGCTGTAGGAGAGCATGTGAGAGAGGCTGGAAGGAGATGAATCCGTCCAGAGAGACTGGGGATGGGGAATCCACAGACGGAAGAAAGGAGGAACAGAGGAGGGAAATGGAGAAGGCCGGGGGGGAGACACACCGGAAAAGAAGAGAAGGAAGGAAAGGGACCGAGTATTTGCACAGTACAGCAAACTAGACTTTACAAATATGGTGGAAGAGATAAGGAGAGACGTAGCAGAAGGGGGAAAATAGAGAGGAGGAAATGAAAAGTGAAAGTGAAAAGAACAAACACAAGGGATACAAAATAATGTTTTAAAAGGGCTTTATACTTAATACAGAGCTTAAATGGCAAACAGGAGGTGGTTATTTTTAAAGGGGTGGATAGTACAGACTGTAGGGGTATGGCCAGATATTTGCTGAAAGCAGCAAACTGCCTAGGGCAGCCTTGTTCAGCAAGCCACTTTCCCCTGGCTATCATTTTTGTCTATGCTGAATAAAATTCTTCCTCTTGGATCCTCCCTCCCCACTCCTGGGATTGTTCATGTGATTGCACTTGTTTTATGTGCTCTGGAGGGTCTGTTGCATCCCAGCCATCCTCTGCTCTGCCCCCAGCCACTGCTTCATGCAGTTCTTACTCCTTCAATCATCTGTGGATTTTCACTAAATCCAGTGTACAACAGTGGACAGGTTTTGGATTGGAGGTATCCAGCAAACAAGGACTGGCCTCTCTGGACTAAGATGCCTTTAGGAAAGAGAAATTTTGTGTCCATCTTCAGAAGGCCTCTATTCTGCTCATCCCTTGCTCATGGGGGAAAAAAATCTTACAAAGCCAACCATCCAGCTCCCTTTATGCACTTCCCACTGACCACACTACCAGTGCAACCAGCCTCCAGACGCCCTTAATCAGCTTCTCCACCAATCAGCTCCATATTTGCCTCAATTCACAGGACATCCTTCCTGAGCTAGTCCACAAAGCTGCTACCCCCTCCTGCGACAAAACTCACCTCTGTCGTGATGCCTGGGACCTGGCTGTCATTGGGGGTTCTGTATACCTGTACTATATGTTTTATTTCTTAAGCATATGTTGTATTACCTAGGTATCTACAGGACTCTCATTACTATAGTGTTTGAGCAACTCACAGTCCTTTACTGTGTCCAGTGAGGTAGGGGAAAGTGCTGTTATTCCCACTATACAGATGAAGAAGGAGGCACAAAAAGGCCTTTGTACCCTTCAGCATGTCACTTAGGCACAGGTTTTTAAAGATATTTAGGTGTTGCTGCGCTCAGAGTTGCAGTCTCACTGATTTAGGCACCTAACCCTCATTTTTCAAAAGGGATTTAGGCACTTGGGAGCCTGTATCCCACTGTCTTTAAAGATCTGGGCCTAACTGACTTACAGACGGTTACACAAGAAATCCGTGTGAATTGGTCTCCCAAGTCCTAGGTTAGTGCCTTAACCACTGGACCATCCTTCTGCTCACTATTATCATAATGTAGCCAACACTTGCTGGCACTTTACTTGTTTGTTGCTCTCCCTTCCTCTCATTTTCATGTCTCTTAGTTCTGAAAGACAAGATGGGTGACAATATCTTTGGGCCAAGTTCTCTTGTTTTATCATTTTTGCTCTTTGGGGGAGATAATGTGCCTTCGTCTGTGTTTGGAAAGCATCTCATATATTGCTGCCTCCACCAGATACAAATAATAACAGTTTGAAAGCTGATATTGAATATATTACATTTATATATAGCATCTTCATCCACCATTGAAGTGAAGCTACTAATGGGATGGAACGTTGGAGGGGTGTAGCGCTCAATACTTCCTGACATGAAATGAAGACGATAATAAATGCAATAACATTCCTCTTGTAGTTTCAGGTAGGCAAAGAGAATTACCCTCACTGGAATATGACTTGAATAACATGCTAACACTTCCACTATCACAGAAAGTGTCATGAAATATTTAAAGCTAGATTTTCAAAAAGGCAGGTGCTGTTGTGTACCTAGTTTGCATGTGCTATTACTGTAGTTCAGGGGTGGCCAACCTGTGCCTGAGAAGGAGCCAGAATTTTCAAATGTACATTGCCAAAGAGCCACAGTAATACGTCAGGAGCCCCCCATCAGCTCCCCCTGCTCCTAGCGCCTCCCGCCCACTGGCAGCCCTGCCGATCATCGCCTCCCTCTCCCTCCCCGCACCTCTCGATCAGCTGTCTTGTGGCGTGCAGGAGGCTCTGGGGGGAAGGTGGGAGGAGTGAGGGCATGGCAGGCTGAGGGTAGGGGGCAGGAAGGGGTGGAGTGGGGGCAGGGCCTGTGGCAGAGCCAAGGGTTGAGCAGTGAGCACCCCCCAGCATATTAGAAAGTTGGTGGCTGTAGCTTCAGCCCCGGAGTCGGTGCCTATACAAGGAGCCGCATATTAACTTCTGAAGAGCCCCATGTGCCTCCGGAGCCACAGGTTGGCCACCTCTGCTGTAGTTGTACACACAACTGTGATATTTACAAAAGCAGATGGTTAGGAATGCCATGAAGTCTAGTGGTATTTTCTCCACAAGTACACACTGCATGATACAATTTAAACAGACGGAGAAGAATCATAGTCTAGTCCTTAATTGACTGAACATTATGCTGACATTGATACTATACGTTAACCCAACAGAGATTAAGCGGGCAATCCCACACTTAATTCATGCAAAACGTACATAGTAACACAATAGCTTCCTTGGAGTGAGCAACTTGAGCTTTCTTCTGCACTTATTGCCAAAACAGCCAGGAAAGACAATTGACTGGGTTTCCACTTTGTCAGCACGTATGTGCATGTGTGTAAGGAAAACAGAGGGTACGTCTTCACTTACCGGAGGGTCTGGCGGCAGGCAATCGATGTTCTGGGATCGATTTATCGCGTCTGGTTAAGACGCGATAAATCGATCCCGGATCGATCCTGGAAGTGCTTGCCGTCGACGCCGGTACTCCAGCTCGCCGAGAGGAGTACGCGGCAGCGACGGGGGAGCCTCCCTGCCGCGTATGGACCCGCGGTAAGTTTGGACTAAGGTACTTCGAATTCAGCTACATTATTAACGTAGCTGAATTTGCGTACCTTAGTCCGAAGTGGGGGCTTAGTGGGGACCAGGCCTCTAGAGAGAGGCTCACAGGCCACTTATTTGCCTCCTTTCATGCAATATGATGTGTCCTCCTTGCCTGTCTCTTATGTTGCTGCTGGGGCCCCTGAGTCACCTTGAAAAAGATCCAGTGCTGCTTCTGTAGTCAAGCTTGAGACAATTCTTTAAATCTCTACAGACCCTCTCTCTCTCTCTTGGTCTCTGGGTGTGGTTTCATATAATCTATGTTACTACGGAAATCAGGGCCCTGCTGCTGCTGCTGAGAATAGGTGCTACAGTTTGAGGGTCTATCCTGTTTCTGAGGTTAGTGGTCTTGGCTAGTGGGATTAGAAAAAGAGGCCACCTCAGAAAGCATTGCTGCCAATGGGTTTGGGCTCTGAAAGCATCCTGAAGCACTTATATCTGCTATTGCTGCCATCTCAAAAGATAGCTGCTGCTGCTGCCTTGGAAAGCCTGAGCTATTCTGAAAAGTTTCCATTTGAAGAAATTTTTAAAAAATGTATGCAATGGCTGTCAAGTGTGCGTTTGAGGAAGCACCGGCCTTCCATCATTGGGACCATTATTTAAATGTAGTTAGAACCTCAAACTGTAATACTTGTGGTCTTAGGTTAGTACTCCGGGGTACCCAAGAAACAGATGTCAATGGTGGTGGTTGACACCACCATCATTATTAGCCCTTCTGTCCCCCAAAAAGGAAAGAGCATGGATTGAACCACCACAAACAGTGAATTTTACTAATTCTAAATCCCCACCCCTTTCTAGCTGGCCTGTGACTACATTAAAGATTTAAGTGTCAAACTTAGCCTTGATGTTTCTGAGAACAAATCATTTGTTGAGAAATAGAAAACGAAGCTTTTTTTCTTCCAAGGAAACCATGTTGTTTTAAACCTTGGCCACGGACGTTCCATTTAAACATAAACGAAGACACCTGGGTGGGGTCTAGAGGGAGTAATGAGACAAAATCTAACCTGCTGGCCACCTTGGGCAGTAGACAGTGCTCCACACACCATCCAGGTCCCCCATCCATTGAGATGAAGAACTGGTATACTGTACTGGCAACAGGAGGTAAGAAGCAGATCCCAATGGCTGTGGAGGAGGAGTCACCTGTCTCCAGGAAGTCTCCTGGAAGACTTATAGCTGCCACATCCAAGAGGCAGTGTAGGATGCTGGTGGTCAGGGATTCCCTGCTGAGGGGGACGGAGGTACCTGACAGGATGTCCCAGGAGATGTATTGCCTGTCTGGCACCTGCATCTGATGGCATGCTGTTCCAGGAAGGGGGCTAGTGGGAATAGATGGGGTCTACTTGGCCAAGAAGAGGAAGAGCATCTTCATGCACCAATTTTCCAACCTAGTGAAGAGGGCTTTAAACTAGGTTCAAAGTGGGCAGGTGATGAAAGCCCACAGGTAAGCATTAAAAAAT